TCTTATTTGTTTGTTTCTTTAATAAAAACAATCTGTCATTACAGTAGCAGTGATGGCACTAACAACAACAACAACATTCTGCATCAGGATAGTTTTAAGTCCTCAAGGTGTTTCTATTATATAGACAGGTTTGGGAATGATTGGAGTGACACCAGGATTTCCAACAAGTTCATTCTGGTTTGACCTCCTGCCGAGAATTCACATTTCTACTCAGACATCATAAATCAGAATCTACATTTTAACAAGTCCCTGCGTGATTCTTAGGTATAAGTGGGAATCTATAAGACTCACCCAGGAGATCTTATAAACTGTAGATTCTGAGTCAATATATCTGGGGTGGAAATATAAGTTCTCATCAGGGGGCTCAACCAGAATGAACCAGTTTAAAACCCTGGTTGACACAACAGCCTTGTGAAAGTGTTGTTTGGGAGAAGCCAAAGGTATGGACCATTATAGGACCAACATACAAAACAATTGAAATATGTGAGCTGTGTAAAAGGTCAGCAATACAAAAAGTTAACTGACTAGAAGAAGCAAACCTTGATGTTCCTTGAGATGTTTGACAACAGAATACGGACAACCATATTTAGGATAATGGTTTGAATCAATTCCTCTTTAAATAGTTCAAACAGAATGACCCCTGTCTTGGAGAACTTGTAGATATCTAGATAACTGACAGATGGTAACAGATAGAATTGGTTTATAAGACTAATGAAGTTGGCAACAAACTATCAGATAAACTCAGGTGGTCCACAAATTCACCTTGTTGCTGTTGTTAGGTGCTGTCAAGTTAGTTCTGAATCATAGTGACCCTATGCACAACAGAGGGAAACACTGCCCAGTCCTACACCATCCTCAGAACTGTTATGCGTGAGTCCATTGCTGCTGTCATTGGGGGTCTTCCTTTCCTTCTCTGACACTCCACTTTACCAAACATGATGTCCTTCTCCAGGGACTGATCATTCCTGATAACATGTCCAAAGTATGAGTGACTAAGTATCACCATCCTGGCGTCTAAGGAGCACTCTGTTTGTACTTCTTCCACCATGGACCTGTTTGTTCTTCTGGTAGTCCTTGGTACCTTCAATATTCTTCTCTAATACCACAACTCAAATGCATCAATTCTTCTACAGTCTTCCTTATCCATTGTCTACCTTTCAAATGCATACAAGGTGATTGAAAATATCATGGCTTGGATCAGGGGCCCTTTAGTCATCAAACTGATGTTTTTGTTCTTAAACACTTTAAAGAGGTCTTGTGTAGCAGATTTGCCCAATGCAATATGTCATTTGATTTCTTGACTACTGCTTCCATGAGTGTTAATAGTGGATCCAAGCAATATGAAGTTTTTGACAACTTCACTTTTTTCTCCATTTTATCGTTATGTTATGTAATTGCTCCAGTTGTGAGTAATTTTTTTTTTTTTTTTAAATAAGGTGCAATCCATACTGAAGGCCATGGTCGTTGATCATCAGTAAGTATTTAAGTTCTCTTTGTTTTCAGCAAGTAAAGTTGTGTCATCTGCAAATCAAAGGTTGTTAATGAGTCTTCCTCCAATCCTGCTGCCATGGTCTTCTTCATATTATCCAGGTTTTCGGATTATTTGCTCAGCATATCAAATAAGTATAGTGGAAGAATACAACCCTGACACACACCTTTCATGGTTTTAAACCATTATTATCCCCTTGTTCTTTTCAATTAACTGTGTCTCAGTCTATGTACAAGTTCCTCATGAGCACAATTAAATGTTCTGGAATGCCTGTTCTTCAAAATGTTATCCATAGCTTGTCAGGATCCATGCAGTGGAAAGCCT